CGAACAAAAAAGGTTGAATACCACTGCCCTAGACCACCTGATAACTTGGCAACATATACCCCACTGAAAATGCAGAAATCCCACCATGATGACAACAAATAATTTTCAGTCGATTACAAGTACAAGGTCACACTGGTGAATTTAATTATCCAAAAATTCGGTTAAGAATCTCATAGGTCTACAGTTTAAACATTTATATTTATCTCTTGTTCATTTGCACTGACGGAAAAACCCATATTAACAGTGAGTACAAGTTACTTAGAACAATATTTGGACCTAAGAACAATGAACTGATGAGAAGATGGAGAAAACTGCATGTTCCATATGTTCTACACTTCACCAGATATTATTAGGATGATCAAATCAAGAATGATAAGATGGGAAAGGCATGTAGCATGCACAAGGAGTTGAGAATGTGTACTAAATTTTAACAAAAGCCTACAGGGAATATACCACTTATAAGACAGAGTAGTAGATAGGAGAATATTAAAATGGATCTTTGGGAAATTATAGAGAATGTGGATTGGATTCATCTAGCTCTGAACAGGGTTTGGTGGAGGCCTCTTGTGAATATGGTAATGAACTTTCAAGTTCAAAAAAGGCAGGAAATTTCTTGACTACCAGAGCATACTGTTAGCTTCACAGTAAGGACTCTGCTCCACAGAATTAGTCTTGTTCAGTTCCAGCAACAAACCTTTAACAGATCACATTGTACACAGCAAGTTCCAAAAGAAGCATAACAAATTCATGACATACCTGTAACTTCTCATACACGGCTGCCTGAATTTCATCAAACCATGTTTCATTGGGAACCTCACTACGTATTCTGAACAAAAGTTTCTTTACAATTGTCTCATCCAGTTTCAGTCTGGGAGATGCCTATAACAACAACAGAAATATGAGTACCCATATGCCGCAAAACTCTTTCCTCCACAACAATATAGCCCTGACAATGGATCTGAAATATCATCAGTTTCAGCAAATCAATGCGTCTCATATCTCAGAAAACAGTTCTTAGCAGCAAACAACATTTATGATTTATTGCCTGTAATCACAGATGATATGAGATGGGTGGGGCATGTAGCGCGCATGGATGGGACAAGAAGTGTGCACCAGGTATTAGTTGGGAAGCCTGAGGGGAAGAGACGGCTGGGGAGACCGAGACGTAGATGGGAGGATAATGTCAGACGGGATCTCTGCCTTTCCAATCCATGACATATAACACTATTTTCCATGTCTGCATTGTTTGCCCTATATTGTAATGCAACTGTTTACCTTCTCTGACAGGTACTGCTCATATATACTGTAGGCGGCTTCTTTCATGTTTTCCAATGTGAGATTGGGGAGCTGTCCCTTGACATGATGGTCGTCTCCTACAGTCTTTAGCTTCTGTAGCTCCATATCCGATATCTGCTGCTCAGCAGACACCCGCCATCCTGTAACGAATGTAAGAGAAACAAGACTTGTCTCTGCCTTGAGTTTATCTATGCTTTTGGTTTGTACCATCTGACAAAGAGTAAATTCATGCAGTTCTCAGATGAAACAGGCATAGAACAGACTAATATTCAGTTCCATTGACTGACAAACTCCATGTAGCAGAGTCCTTACTGAGAAGCTGATAGTCTATCAGCTAGTCAAGAAATACCTCATGTTTTATGGAACCTAAAGATCCATTCTTGTGCTCATAAGAGCATGCCACTGATCCTTATCTTGAGCCAGATCAATCCAGTCCAAACCTTTCTGCTGTAGTTCCTTAAGATCCACTTTAATATCATTCTCCTACCTAAACTGATAGCTTCTAAGTAATCTCTCCTCTTCAAACTTTCTAATCAAAATTGTGTATGTATTTCTTGTGTCCTACATGCAGTACTGTCCACGGATCACGAGAAAAACCCTGCAAGGGGAAGTCGTTTCTGGTCGGTGCGGGGGGAATGTTACTTATCAGCTGTACTAGAGGGCTGTTATTGGTGGGAAGTGTGACATGCCAGAGAGTTATGCTACTACACACAGACTGAAAACATCAAGCAGTTGAGATTAGCGTGTATTGAGTGTGTCTGTACTGTGTTCTGTGAGTGTTGTGATAATATTCTAGATTAAATCACAGTGCCACTGTGATATAATCTTAAAACTGTACCCATTAGAACACATGAAAGCCTGTCATCTGTTGTTCGTTCAGTGGTTGTGGAACGAATGCTTGTAGGATGGGTCGTCACTTACCGCGAAATATTGCACATGCTCGTATATCACATTCCTACCAGGGCTTTTCTCGTGATCTGTGGACTGTACATATCTCACCCAATATACAAACATAAATAGTGGGCACTCATATTCGTCATTTCTCAACCAATTGTTTCTCATATACGTCTATTATTTAACACCATTATTTTCATATCTGACAGTGGTTCTTGTATCTGCCATCAAGTTACCACCTACCTGACATGCATGTATGTCAGTTCAACCAAGAACACTCCCAGTGACAGATTCTCAAACCAGTTTTAAGTCAGTTTTGTAACTTTTGTTATTTCTGTAATACCTCAGTGTCAATGTTTCCAAAGTCAAATGAGAATGCTAACAGACTAGGAATATTCCCAACTTTGGAAACAAAACTCAAAAATACTGTTGCTTTTGAAGTTGGCAAACAAGCAGTTGATATTTCACATAAACATAGAATACCACCTAAAACAGTTCCAACAATTACAACTGACAAACAAAATAATAAAGATTCTGCTACATCAGCAGTGTCACACACATGAATGTTTGAGAATCAGAGATCATATTTACTGAAAATGGGGGAAATTATTATTTATTTGGATTTTTCATCAGCAACTTAAAAGAAAGCCATATGAATTCAACTCTGATAACACAGAAGGCTAAGAGGATTTTTGATACTCCAAAGACTAGTCTTTGGTGGTGTTTGTTTATTCTAAAAATTATATTAGCACTCAAGTTTATGACTTCCCTAAAATGAGTTAAGATCATAACATAAGAGTACAGGCAACCCTCGGTTTACGAACGAGTTCCATTCCCGAGCTTTTATGATATGTATCATATTCGTTAGCGGCCATTTTAAAGCATAAATCCGAGCTTTTATGATATGTATCATATACATTAGCGGCCATTTTAAAGCATAAATTCATGTACTAAACATCGGATGGTCTATACAATACGTTTTATTATAATGTATGTATGCATTATGCAAGAAAACATTCTACGAGGCGTTGCATGTAAACCAAGGTTTTTTTACTGGCTAGATTAGTTTTATTAACCAAGAACAGTTCAGTATAATTATCATATACTAACTTTATGATGATTATTGTAATAAATACATTTTTTAAAGTTTATTTATTTAAATCTTACAATTATTTTCATTATACATTTGGCATTTCGTTTTATAAGGAACTTTATCTACTGGCGACTATATTAAATTTTGAATGAAATGTGACGTTTGTTATAGCAAATTTTCGTAAATCGAACATTCGTAAACTGAGAGTTTCCTGTATATTGCTCTGAATTCACTGTTTACTTATCCATCCCACTTATAAGGAATAAATTAATGACAGATACAGAGACCACACTGTAAAAGAATTAAAGACAAACAAATGACAATACACATGAAATTAAAATTACTCAATACAGCATTGAAAACAAAATAAAATGGCACTTTACCTTCCACATTGAGGTAGAAGAAGAGGTACGCCTGTGCTCCAACACTGGACATGTAGTCAATGAAGTAGGACAAGGCAATGTTGTTCTTCAGTACGACATCCAACGGAAGTGAAAAAAGCTTCGTACCTGGCGTCAGTAGTCGATTCCAATCAATGTGTGATGGCAGACCTGACAAAACAATGCCAGTTACTACATATCATAAGACTGGTATTTAACAAGGACATAATTAATTTCATTAGGTCACTAATTATTTAATAACATTGCAGAGGTTATTCAATCCTAGAAGGCAAGTAAAGATGAATGTATGAAAGTAAACAAGGAAGGATCAGGAAGGAGGCAATCATAGAATATTTATAGACAATTCTCTAAAATTTGTGAAAACTGTTTATTTAATGATGCTATCAGTATCTTACATTATACAGTGCTGAACAAGAGGATGACAGTGAATTGGAAAGGACATGGAAGGAGCTGGTCTTGACCTAATTGAAGGCACTATCCCAGCATATGCCTGGAGAAACTGGGGAAAATATTAAAAACCTCAGTCAAGACAGCCGGTTTCTGGGCCGAGATTTGGTCTTCTGGGTAGAAATAATGTGTGGACTCATAGGTAGATGAAAAGTTCTGAATGAATATACAGCCTCAATCTTGTCCTAAAGATTGGGGAAGTAAGCTTCTCTGAAATTTTGGTATCTGCCTGCAAGTCCAAATGGTGTTACTACACAGTAGACCACCACCGACATCTTCATCAATGTGAGAACCTCAAATCTCAAACACCACAGAATGTCTGCATGACAACAGTCACATGATAAAGAGAAAACTGTTGAAAAGGTGAAAAATGTAACATTCATCTGGTAAATCTGAAGATGAAATACTTTTCAGTAATGTAAGTGTTGATAAAGACTGCATACTGATACATGCATCAGTACTGTCAACAAAATAAAAAAAAGACAAATTTTCCATATAGAGAGAGAATATGAATAGACTGGTGATAAATAAGAGAGGAGGTTGTGGAATAGCAGAAGACAGCTGATACAGTGTTACCTAAAAGTGACAACACACAACAGTGTATGTAAATGTCCCCAAGCAATGATGAATGACCTTTGATGTAAAAGCAACACCGATAAATGATTACATAAGATACAAGACAGTAGCACAGAAAGATAGAAACACCACAGGCCACAGAGCAGCGTAAACATCACAAGACACACAACCGTATTTAACTGGTAGAACTTACCAACTGAGTCTGAGTCTGCCCCTTCCTTGAGACGCTGAAGCCGGTTTTCAATCACTTTACGCACATAAAGAAGGGAGCTGAGCTGCTGCTTCACAGCAGTATCGTCCTCTCTGCCCGAATCTCGGGATCTCTGCAACAGAATGCGGTCACAATACAACACATTTATATTAATTTGGTACTTCTGAAAATCAATAAATTATTCACATGTACTGCTCAAAAAATGTAATGTATGAGTGAAGGCATGAAGAAATAC